ACCTTAATTCTCCTCCAACGTTCATCCTGATACCCGGACTGGTCTACGCCCGTTTCTGTTCGTGACTTCTACAACACCATCAATACTTCCGCAGCAATAGCTAAGGACTCTGGTATCCCGACATCAGGGCTATCCGCTCCGAGTCTGACTTGGTCCATACGAATTGCGTCAGTCGCAGGGGTACTTGGAAGTTCTAAAGGCTTCATGATCTTTTCAGGGATCCTGGATACAAGACGTAGATGCACTATCTCATCGGGGTCATTGAGTTCCCAGGATTCTCCGAGCATCAGGGTCTTAGAGGTCAGGTAGTCAGCCGCTTGGTTAAACTCACGTTTAACATGAATCAATTTAACTGACACAAAATCCTTCCTGAGATCTTCATACTCAGGTCGTTGCAGGTTGGGCTGGTTACAACTAATCAGACCCTGAGCCTGCTGAACGACGATTCGAGAATCACCGACTACCACAAGCTCCTCGACATCATATTTCAGAGCGAGCTTTAGTCCCAGAATCAAACCATGATATTCAGCGTCGTTGACCGTCACACCTTCAAGGATGTGTCCTTCCCATTTCACAACCTGCCATCCTGGCAGCTTCCAGAGTATGCATCAGCAACTTCCTCGGCGAGTGGAAACCTTTGCAGCGCCATCAAAACTCAGAACGTAGCATTGATAGTCTGCTTCCAACATCTCCAGACTCACTGGTGGCATAACATTCAGACGCCCTTTGCGGGAATCAGATTTTCCGCAACTTCAATCTAAATGGTCCCTGGGAGTAATACCAGACCCGAGGATGGCTGCGAGGCCGTCCCCATCTTTCTGAGTCCGATGGATTTCCAGTGTCCATCTTGATAGTTCCAGTCCCCACTTCAGATGTCGCCCATCTGCAGTGTTGGATTGTAGTAACCACTTTAGAACAGAGTAGCGCGTATAAACCACAACTAGGAATTCTGATTCATGGATCAGAGGACTGAAAACCTCCAGAGTCCGCAAGATTGCGAGCACTTCCTTCTCAGTTATGTGGTACCGTAGCTCTGATTCCTTCAACACTCTACCAGTAAATCGCACGGGGTGTATGAGTCCCTCATGCTCCTGACCCAAAACCGCACACGCCGCCCACGGGTTAGCATGCGGAATGATCACGAAAGGCTTATTTCTGTCTGGATGTCACAGCAGCGGGGTTGACACGATCTTACGTTTCAGTATCTCGAAAGACCACTCTTTTGCGGCTTCCAGGTTCCGTCCAGCACGTACAGGTTCTTCGTCTAGTTTGTGGAGCACAGCGGCAACTACTGGTAAGTCTTCAATGAACTTATTGTAGTAGTTCAGACTTCCTAAGAAAGACTGCACTCCCTTGTACGTCGACGGGAAAGGTAAACTCTCTATGCCTTTGACAATCTTCGGCAAGGCTCTGATTCCGTCCGCACTCACTTCGTGAGAGAGGAATGGGATGGTCAACTTCCCGAACTCACTTTTGGGTAAGCTCACAGAGATATTCCAGTATCGTAGTCTGTACAACAACGCGTCCACTCACATAGTTGGTCCCAGGTCGACGCCCATGAGCGAAGTCGTCAATGTACGAGCTTCTTCCCAAAACTGGACCCATTTGTGACGGAGCGGGATATTGCGTCGAAATACAGTCATATCCAATGCCGTGATCTCTG